AAGAAAGAATTAGTCACTCTTAATCTCCAATTATCGATCTCAAACTAAATTCTACTAGTATATATATCTCCATAAAGCAAAATTTAAATTGCTTAAATAAAATTTAAGTTAGAAAAAGTTCTTAGATCAAAATAATACTGTAACTTAAACTTAAAGAACATTTATAATTAGTTTTGCAATACAAAAAAAAATGTATAAGTTTTGCAACCAGATGCATATTTAATTTATCATACACAAAGAAGCNGGAGGGGGTGGGGGCCTCTATTATTTCATACCTCAGATGAATGATCAGGAGGTGGGTGTCTTGTATCTGACTTGTTGTTAGAAAAATCTAGCATGTTACTGCTCAAAGTTGTGACACAAGACTTAGGAGATGAGAGTGGCATCATCTGTGACCAAGTAGGTTTACCAGTAATTTCTGTCTGGTGATGGAAATCCACATTATTGACATGTTCATACATGTAGTTTTTCTGATTTACATCTATAACAGAATCAGCTGCCTGGCTCAGGAACGTCGACTGTTCTTCCCAATTATTTTCCAACTTCTTGACGGCCTGCATATTGCTCAGATGTACTGACTTCTCTTCTTCCCCCACCAAGCCTCCACTATTCAAATCCAAACGGTGTATAATTCAGTATTTTCAGAAATATAAGAGTACAGATCAAATATAAGGTACAATTAATATATGAAACTAACTAACCAAGAACAGACTAAAGCAAAGACATTTACTCCAAAGGAGATGAAACAAAAACCAAAAGATATTTCAGAAAAGAAAGAGAAATATGGAGAAAGGAATTGACAACTGTTTGAAATTCCAGATCAGAAACTTGTCTTAATTTTGCTGCAAGGTAAGAGGCAGTTTATAGTACACTAATGAAATTAAGTTTCTGCTTCATATTCCTCTTCTAAAACACACAACCTTAAACTAGTTGAAGTAAAGAGGGGGTGGGGGGTTTTACAGAAGTAATTGGCTCCATGATTCAGGAAGCTGTTCTTGGTTATTATTCCATGGAGGCGAAGGAAGTGGCACTGTTGGAGAGAAATGATTATTATTAGGAGCCAACAAGGAAGGAACAGACGTAGCAGCAATTTGTTGATGAGATATGGGAGGCCTCATGTTATTGATATTCCACCAGTTAGGGCTTCCACCCATCATTTGCTGCACTGGTGATTTCTGCATAGCACCTCTATTCATTTCTCAAAAAACTATCTTTTTTTACTCTATTCTTCCAGCTAGCTACCACTATTTCCTTTTAATTACTTCATATACTTCTCTTTCCAATATAATTTTCCCTGAAGATCCCAAGCAAGTCTTGTTTTCGGTGAAACTTTGAGAGAGGTCTTCCTAGTCCTGATTAAGTAGAGGAAAGAAAAAAGGAGAGTAGCTATAGCTAGAGGATGAGAGAGAAGAGAGAGAATTTTGAATCATGGGGTTTTGACAACTTTTGTCTTTCTATCCCTTTCTTTCTCTCCTTTTTCTTTATTACTCCTATTAGCTTTCCTTTATTATTTTTCCTCCCCTTTATCTTTTCCCTTTCCTTCTTTACTTTTCTCTTGCTTTTGCTTTATTAAAAGGTGATAGCAATTCTCATCAAGTAAAAAAGAAAAGTTGAAGAAACAAATTGAGATCTATTCCTATGGCTGCTGGTGCACCCTAGTCTCCTCCTCTTACGCTCCTAAACTTACCATACAACTTCAACTTTAATTTTTTATTGTGTAAACGAATTTTTTAATTTATCATATCATCTGAAAATTAACTACATTTAGTTTATGATAAGTGCAATTAGTGGCCTGAAAAATAAAAAAATAAAAACCTGATGCAAGTTAAGTTACACCAATAGTGTGTAAAGTTACTTTAAACTATCCTTGTATATAAATTAAATCTAACCCATTATAGTACACGGGATGCTAAATATGGGAATTTTCTATTTTAACATTCCGTTAACGATTGAAACTGGTTGAATAACATAACTATTTTGAAATTTTTTCTAACTATTTAATCTTTGCAACACCTCATTCTCCCTACACATATATATTTTCCATTTTCTCTTGATTGAGTAACTGAAATGATATAGAAATTAATGAACATTACTGACTTCTAAGTGATGTAACAACACGAAAACTTTACGTAGATATGCTAACCCGCAGACTCTCGCATTTTCTAGAAAAGCAGTAGTATATATAACGTATATCGCCAAAATGTTATCTTATATAGCTCGTAGAAACTCACACGTACTTAGAGGATCTTATTCATATTTTGTTAGTTCTCTCATGCTAATTACATATAGGTTTTTATTTTGTAGAATTGTGACTAGGTGTTTTACTGCTAAAAATAATCCAATTTCATATATATCTTTTGCTTTGCAGTTTATACTAACTAAAATATCTTGAATACGCGCATAACTAAGAGGTTCCTAGGGGTATTCATGGAAAATTACCTTCGTGAGGTCATAACACACGGACTTTTCAAGGAAATAAAAGAGGTAAAGCAAAGAATTAACAGATCAATACTTTCTTTCCAAAACTTGGTCTGAAAAGAATGGTTCATCAAAAATTTAAGTAAATATCAATGTCATAAAAAGTTAATCCGATTTTTTTTTTAATTTGGAAAATCTTATAAACGAAATTTCTCAAAAATAATCTTGTGCTTTTGACATAAATGGATAAACAGAAAATTGACTATACCCGTAAAATTAAATGTAACAACCAACTACCCGAGGTCCTACCACACCGAAAAGATCCTTAAAGACATATCTCTCGCCAAAAAATTGCTGCATTAGCGTACAATTACCTGAAGTGTAAATTACTTGTGTAACGTGATTATTATCTCATCTGGTTAAGATTATCTGTCTTTTAATGTTTTTACACCTTTTAAGTTGTCTTAAATTACCTATCTCAGTTTATTAACACTACACTAATTAAAACATTAACGATATATTTGAAAAAGTAATACTAACTGACTTTTTATTTTACTGAACTCAACAATTTTGAACAAATTAAATTTGTCAAAATTATTAATGAAAATAGAGGAAGAATCATTTAATTGACACCTAATGACGTTTCACGTTAGGGAAAGTAATTACAATTACCAAATCCTTCCGTATTGGAAGTAAAAAGTCATGTTTTACATATATAAAACAATCAATTTCAAACTACATGTGCTTCATGTCATGTTCTATAACCATAATTTGGCCATACTGTTTTGTAAGCTTGCTGTAACCGTTAACATTAAGCCCATAAAAAAACCATGAAGATGCCAAGAAACCAGAATCACACAAATTTTCAAGTAGTCAAAATCTAGGGTTTTGAGATGCCTAACCTTGGCCAAGACAAAGGAATGAATGATCACAATTACCAAGATGCATGTATATATTCTGTTTGTTTCTAAAAAATTACTTTTCCCTAATTATCTGTCATTCGTTATAGAAAAAAGTTCCACATTGGCCTTGATTTCGGCTCATTGTTAGCTAGAAAATGGGTATTATAGTTTTTTCTGACTAAATATGCGTAATCTAGGGAATAACAAAAACAATATCAGGTCATTAGGTACTTATTAATACAAAACAAGTGGAGTAAAAAATAACAATTTTTACGTTGTCTTTGATATTTTTAATTGGATTTAGCCACGGAATACATTCTCTGTTTCTCTGAGGAACTAATTTTAATGCAGGAAACAAACAAAACGATCCTTAAATCCAGAAAGAGTGTGACGAGGAAATGGATTAAATTAATGGGGGTTAGTGAGGAATTAGAGAGTATATTATGGGTGGCTGAGGAATGGGGATGTCTGGTCCGTACTGCTAAAATCTTTGTCGGAGGCTCTTGTCTTTTCTGTGGCACACCCTATTTATTCCTTTCCTCCAAATTCCTTTTATTTTTTCTTTTAATTATTCTCATCTTCTTGTCTCCCTTCTATCTCATTCCAAGAAACAAACCTCTTCCTCCTTGTCTTGTTTCTCCTCTCATATTCCCTTCTTGATATTTTTTATTTGTTTAATGAGAAGTAACAGCTTTTATAAGAATATAGAAATAATGTTTATATTATTTTCACAATATAATTTTTCAATAAAAAGAATTCAAGCGAACTTTCTCCAACCAAGCTCCTCCCATAGACTCCGGCTATTTTCCTTCTGGAAATTATTTAAAATAAGGAGTTTAAATTCTATGTGCTGACGTATATAAAATATTTACATGATACAACAATTTACACAGTGCAGGCCTACACGCCCGTCACCTAACATGTGCATCACCTCAACATCAATAACATAATACGTAATTCGAGGTTTCATACCCTCAGCACCAAGTTTAGAAGTGTTACGTACCTCGAACAAGCCAAATCCAATACCGAGCAAGCCAAACGATGCTCTAAAAATGTCATCTCGCGCGTATCGACCTCTGAACGGCTCGAAACTAGCCAAAAACAACTCAAAACATTAAATAAAACCCAAGGAAACAATTCCAAGTGATAAAGGTCGAATTTTTAATCAAAACCTCAAAGTCAACCAAAAAGTCAATCCCGGGCCTGCACCTCGGAACCCGACATAACTCATAAAATCCTACAACTCATTCAATTATGAGTTCAACCATACTAGTTTCACCTAAATCCGACTCCGAATCGATGTTCAAAACTCAAAAAATCCCTCTATGAAACTTTGTACAACCCCCCCCCCCCTTTTCTTTTTAAAATTCACAATTCAATACCAAAAATGAAGATAGGTTCACGAAATATAATCAAAACCGAGTAGAGAACACTTACCCCAATCCATATGGTGAAATTCGCCTAAAAAATTGCCCAAATTCGAGCTACCTAACTCAAAATATGACCAAATAAACAAACACTCGATATTAAATATTTTTGGCTACTTGTTCTGCCTCGTTTCGTCTGCCAAACGATCTGAAACTCGCTTTTGATGCCTCCAATAGATTCCTTGTGAAATTCCAGTCAAGTTAGACTTTTGAATCACTCCATTTTATCTAATAATGAAGGAGATATGTTGGTTTCAATATTTGGAAATAGAGTAGATTATTAAATATGAATTGAGTGACAACTTCGTAATTAATCTAAACAAATCTAGCAACTAAATTCTTAGTAAAATGACCATAAATTCATCATACGGTGTCGAAACTTGATGATTCCAGTTTTATTGGTTCCAAAATTATGATGCGGGTCTAATTCTTCAATCAAAAAAAATGTGAAGCTCATTTACTTAATGTGGTACCACTTATGCTTGAAGACACGATGTCGAAACATAAAAAACGAACGCAACGCAACCCAAACCTATCTGAAACTCACCCGAACTCCTCGGGACCCCCATCCAAACATACCAACAAGTACCATAACATAACACAGGCTTAATAGAGGCCTCAAATCATGTATAACAACATCAAAACCATGAATCACACCTCAAATCGAACTTAATGACCTTTAACTCTTTCATCTTTCAAAACTCATGTCGAACCTTATCAAATCAATTCGGAATGAACTCAAATTTTGCACACAAGTACCAAATGACATAATGAAGCTATTACAATCCCCGGAACCACAATTCAAACCCGACATCATCAAAGTCAACTCCCGGTCAAACTTATGAATATTCCAAACCTTCAAATTTTGACTTTCGCCAAATAGTGTCGATACCTTCTAAAAATATCCAAATACAAATCCGGACATATTCCCAAGTCCAAAATCACCATCCCGACCTGACAGAATCATCAAAACTCCGATCCAAGATCAAGTACTAAAAAGTCAAACTTGGTCAACTCTTCCAACTTGAAGCTTTTTAGCTGAGAATCATTCTTCCAAATCAATTCCAAATAATCTGAAAATCAAAACCGACAATTCACACAAGTCATAATACATCATACGATGCTACTCGAGACTTCAAATAGCTGAACGAAATGTGAATGCTCAAAATGATCGTCAGGGTCGTTACACATTCCTTACATTACAATTGCAAAATAAATAATGCAGAAAGTAAAGAACACAAGGATTTTTATGTGAAAAATATATAACTCAAAAGGTAAGAAAACTACGACCTACTTCCTAGTAGGATTTTCCCCAAACACTTGTTACACCCCAAATTTTCGTACGTATGAGTACGTCGTAAGTCAATTGATGTAAACTCATAAATGAGATCATCTTTGAAGGTACATAAAGTGAGTCAATCATGTTACCTTGGGCGTTAAAAAATTTAAGACGATGAATAACAAATACCAAGAGGGTTGGAAGGCTTAAAAGCTAAACGAATTGGAAAAAATAAATTTCATTGAAAGTCGACAAGTTGGGAATGTTATAACATGTACTTTGGGGTGAGACTGTGCGATTAATGATGATAAGGTTATGTTATGAGTTATTTTAGTCATAAGATAGCCGTGTGTCATGTTTTGAAGTCAAGAGAGTTGTGGAACACAAGTTTGCAGAAGTCATCACAAGTTACATTCATAATGTGCTGAACATTAGGTCAAATATA